AGCACGAAAGTCTTCAGACGCAGGTTGTCGATCATTGCCGGGGTGGAGGTACTCAGGACCTGATCAACCGAGTTGATGATCGTATCACAGAGGACGGGAGCGTAGATAGGCCAGAACTTGACCAAAAAGCTGTTGATCCATTCCAGACTCTCGGTGTCGGTTTCCAGGCGCTGCTTGGCCATTTCACGGTTCACATCGTCTCGGAAGTTGCGGCGGACGCGGCGAATGGACGTGCGGTAGTACGTACTACAAGCGGCCATGACAATGAAGATCCAGGCCAAACCTCCGCCTAGAACTGCGATAACCCATGACGAGAGACAGGCGAACACGATGACACCAGCGTTGTGGTACCAATCTAAGCAGTCAGGTCAGTTTCCCCTCGAGCGGCTAAGAGCTGCAGATCTCCTCACCTCCAAAGAACTTGTCGTCCAGTCTTCCCTCCAGGAACGTCTGGTGATCCAGGAGTGTGCCTTCCTCCTTTTCTTCCTGTGTTGGTTGGTGTTCAAACTGCGGGGCCCAACCGGTCCGGTCGCGAGCCCAGCGCATGTCTTCTTCGACAGGAGCTTCACCATTTGGAGCAGCCGAGGCCTCGTCGGCTTTTTCCTGCAGGAGGTCGGTGGCGGATCTCGGAGGGGGTAGGTCGTACTGATCAGGGGTTCCGTCGTCCTATAGTAGGCCAACAGTGCTTAGCGATAGTTCTCTGGGATAAAAAGCAGAACAGACAAAGGCAATGATTTGGGTATGAAGCTTACTTTGTCGGTCACGACAGCCACACCTTTCGGTTTATGTTCATGATGAAAGCCCGGGGGGAGACGCTAGATACCAGGGAAGCTCTTGTCAGCTCACAGATGCCCACGCGACACACCCGTCCGTCAATCTCGGGGAGAACCTACGGCTCTTGCTGCGGCAGCCTTGTCGTCCGGGGATGCATCGGGATCGAATTGATAGGCCGGGACGCCAGCCTTTCGGGTCTCCTCGACCAGAGCCTTTTCGACAGCTTCGGCCCGGAGGTGGGACTGGGGGTCCTGGGAGGCCTGCTGGGCGACCTCAATGGCGCCCTGCTGCTTCAATTCGGCCTTGCTGCCCTCTACGTCTTGCGACGCCATGGCTCTGAGGGGGTTGAGGAAGAGGGTGCGAGCCTCGGGTGAAAATTCACCTACTACAAATCCCCAACCGGTACAACCTGAATGATCCGGTCAATGGAACTTGCCTTTTCCCCTATTCGTTTGGTGGGTGGTGATGGTAGGTGAGGGGAAATCGCAAGGGGGAGGGGGAGGGGAAGTTCGAGAAATAAGGATGTGAGACGAGCAAAGGTACTACAAAGGACACAGAGAGGGAGCGAAGAAAAAAAAGTGGATAAGGATAGAGGAGTTGAGGGACCACGCCGAAGGAAGTGGATAGATTGCTGGCGCTTAGTGTTTGGATGGTTGCCTTGCCGTGGGACGGTGGAAGGCCTCCGCAGCGGGGAGGTGGCTCAGGCACGGCAGCTCCGGGAAAGCTATGGATGGGAGGAATGTCGGGGATGGTCGGGGGAAAAGGAAGGTAGTAGTAGGATGGGGATAGGAGTAGGAATGGGAAAGGAGGGAATTGGGGGAGAGAGAAGCGGGAAACAAGCTTTACTTACCTGAAGGTTAAAGCCGGATGATGATGATGATGGGGGAGGAGAGTAGGGAAAGAGAGGGAAAAAGGGAAAAGATACGTAGTAATGAGGAGGAAACGGGGGGGAAGAGGAAGAAGGGAAGGGAATACCGAGGAGACAAACGAGAAGATGATCGATCGGGACGATGGAAGAGAGTGAGTGGATTGAGTTTCGCAAAAGTCACAGCAACTTTCTAGCCACTTGCGTCAGGGAAAATGAGGAAAGGGAAAAGGAATCGTGGCTGGTGAAGGCCACTTTGCTATTCTTGGTCGATCCAGACAAATTTAGACTCTTTCAGCAATTCCGATTATTTTTATTGTTATTATTGCCTAGGTGGGATATATCATCATATCATATCACATAGTAATACTGTAGGGACTCGAAACGGTGACGGCTGCACGACCTAATGTCGGTACCACTCGGGATGCGAAACCTGGATTCAATTGTGACAGTTTTCATTTAATAATAAAAGACAAGGAATCAATATTAATATCTGTGCGGCAGATGTGGCCATGACATCAAGAGCACCAAAAAAAGCAAAGACGAGAAAATAAAAAGAGAAAGGGATCTTCGAGAAGGGAACGGCTGCCGATCGCATCCAAGGCGACCAATTCTCGTGGAGGCAGCATCTGCATTACTGTGAGCCCTTCTCCCCACATCTGCCCCCTTCCAGATTCCCGGTACGCCGTCTCACTCCTCCTTAAGTACTAACCGATCAGGAGATCTCCAACTATTTACAAAAGTACTACTATATACAGATGGTAGTGACATATTCCATCTTTTTCCCCGATTCAATCGGGAGATAACAAACAATCAAAGAAATTCTTCAGTTTCACCCAGTTAATTATCTACACGAACAACAAGAAGTATCTCCGCCGAGAGTGCACGATCCGAAACGCCATCTACCATGGATATCCTGTCAAGCAGCGGACCATCCCCGGCGCGATCGACTAGTGGGCGCCGGTCTACGATCTATTGGCATTATGGATTGTGCCCTGCACCGCCACCGATGGGGATTTTCTCTCCTCTCCTCTTCCCCCCCCCCTCTTGATTTTCCGCCACAACTGCGGGTTCCTCTGCCTCTGATTTCCGAAGTTCTCCTCTCTCTCGCAGTTTCTTTCGGGCTTTGGTTTGGCTTTCTTCGCTAACTAAACCATCCTAGAGCCGGAATTCTAACCCTCCCAGGGCTTAGTGTTGACCAGCACATATTGACTACAGTCCCAATGCCACGAGTCATGCTCGTTCTTATTCGTCAATTCTGACCTGAGAATATTAACTGCAACTTTGGTTGGTAGCCCTAAGGTCCATACCCTCTCCTCTTTAGTAAGGAGTACTACTACGATATCCAAAGAACGACAATAGTAGTACTAAACTACTAAGAGTACTAGGATTGATTCCCTTCCAAGTTTACACTGCATGCGTAACCCCTTCCTAGTCAAGTATAACCTCTAATCATCATCAGCGCTAACATCGTTATCCCATGCAGTAATAGTGGCAAGGTGTTGTTACACGTGGCATGCAATGAACTGTCCATTTATCCCATTATCCTTTCCAAGGCTGCAACAATAAGAAAAAAACAAATCTGCAAGTATACATAATAATGCAGGCAGGCTACAGCGCTTTCACAATTCAGCACTTATTTATTATTATCTTACAGCACACTAAAATAATACAATTATAAATCAGGAACAAAAAGAAAAGAAAATAAAGCAACCTCGAAAAAAAGAAAAAAAAAAAAAAATTGAAACAAACCCTTGTACCCTGTCTACGCAATCATCGTAGATCCAATCTGAATTGAGAAAAGAAAAAAGAAGCAGTCGGTTAGTTAGATAAAACTTTGACATGAAAGTTGTCTTTGTCCAACGGATCTGCAATTTTCTCACTCACTTCTCTAACTAACTACTAACTGTTGTCAGCCCGTGTCGGGAATCCACCACCACCATCGATCGGCCTATCTACTTGGCTGTAATGCAAATCTCACCACCTACACAGTACACAGGATGCCACCCTCAATAAGTGTAACTCCGTAGTACTTACTCATAAACAAATAATATGATAACTATCATGCACTACAAACCCCATCCCAAACGAAATCCCAACCCTAAATCCACATCTACATCCACATTCCCAACTAACAAACAAACAAGCAAAGCAAACAATCCGGAAATGACTTCCACAATGATTAAACTTGACTAACCACATTGTACTAGCTACAGCTCAGCTCAGCCCAGCGGATTTCCCTTTCTCTCACCAGCCACACACACATACCCAAAGAGGGAATGAAGAAGTGGGCAGACCGCTGCCCAGTAAAAATTGAAAAAGTACTACGTACGTACCACAGCAGGAACGAACGAACGATGAACAAAAAACGGCACGGACCCAGACTTGATGGATGAACGGATGGGCGGAGAAGAAAAGAAAAGGAAAAACGAATTTTGCCACAATGTAATCTCACTGCGGATTTGTCCCACATACTACTACATTGGTGACTACGTAGTGGATATCAGACGATTCCTTTCGGGTCCGATTGGAGATAAAGGAGATATACCACCACCACCACCACCACCACCACCACCACCACTACTACTATTTATCTACTTACAAAGAGTCAACAAATTTTGTATACTATCTAAACTAAATTATCTATATTTCTATCTATCTATCTATCTATCTATCTATCTATCTGGTATGTATGCTACCCGATGACGACGCACTCGTTAAAACCAACCCAAACAAATACGAAACTCAAATCAAGTTATCCTTTTGAGGTTTAATTCACGAGTGGCTGGGAACTGAAAACTGAAAACTGGAACTGAGGCTGGGTTCTTCGGAACGAACAGTGGGGTTACCAAGCTTAGTAGACTAACTACCACTTATGTCCGAGGTTTCGCCTACCGCGGAATTTACTCTCTGGATAAACTCAACCATTGGAAGAAGTGTCGATGGAGAGGGAGGAGGTGGCTGGGGAATTTATAATAAGAAAGGAGAGGTATGGAGTACCTTCGTAGTTATTATCTTGCCTATAGTAGTACAGTGCAATTGAATGTGAATAGATTTCATCGGAAGAGTCGGAATTGATATCTACGGAGTTATTCTATCTCTCTTCTGCCTTTAGCTTATGTCGGCAAACGTAAGATATGGGTTAGTGTGATGTGGTGTGGTGTTGTGGCTGGAGTGCGCTGAAAAAGGAAGAAAAGTGGTTCGAATTTGGATCGCGTCGGGGATCGGGGATTACCCACCACCATCTGTTTAAGTTACTACTTTAGTCAAAGAGATAATGATACTGCTCTGAATTGATCACTGGAACGGATATCGGCTAGCCGATTCGGATCTAAAGCCAGATCTGGATCCAGAAAAAAAAGGCCTGTCTGCAATCTTGATGTGGCTTCGCTGTAGTATTAAGCGAGGGAGAAGGCATGTGGCGTGGCGGTCTACTACGTACTATTTTGCATTTCGGTCATCGCCGTCACTATTACTGTCTCCAATTAGTAGTACTAAACTCCTATTTTAGGATGGGGGTTTACTTTCTAGGTAGACTACTACTAGTCGAGTCTTAGCAAACGTTGCAACTTGCAACTGATATATAATCAATTCGGATGTCATCTCATGTCACTAGAAACACATGCATCGTAATCGCCGTTAAAAACAAAGACATCAATTAATCGCCGTGCCAATCCAGTCCGCTTTTTCTTCATTTGCATTACTAGGAATGTGTGGGCTTTCATTTATACTGCTCGCTCCTCACCGTCCCAGACGGATGACACCAGCCGCCATCAGCTTCTGGATCTTCATCCGCACCTGGGCGTTCTTCATGTGTTCCTGCAGAGCGGCAGGGTCGCTCTTGGCCTGTTGCAGAATGCTCTGCATGACAGGGTCTTGGAGGATGGACATGATCTAGGAAGAGTTAGTCGAGACATCCTTGAAGCTCTCTGGTTATGGTCATGGCTTACCTCGGGGTCGTTCTGGATTCTCTCCATGGTCTGCTGCTCGGTCTCGCCGGCACGGGCGCTGAACTGAGCCTCCAGGCACTTCTGCTGCTGCTGGTCGATCTCACGAGCGTGGGTGCCATCGTCGTGCTCGGAAGCTTCCGTGCAGGCATCCAGGGCCTTGTTGTACTCCTTCATGGCGATCAAGGCCTGAGCCTTGCGCATGTAGGCGCGGATGAACTTGGGGTCACGCTTGGTGGCCTCGTCGCAGTCCTGAACGGCCTGAGGGAAGGCCATCAGCTTGATGAGGGCGGCAGCACGGTTGGAGTAACCGCGGGGGTCCTCGGGCGCCCGCTTGACCATCTCGGAGAAGGCCTCGACGGCACCAGGCCAGTCAGCCTCCTGGAACTTCTTCTGTCCCAGTTCACGGGCCTTCTCGGCCTCGGCGGGGTCAATGTAGGCCTCCTTCTCGGCCTTGGCCTTGGCCTTCTCGGCGTTGCGCAGCTTAGTCAGGACATCGGGTGTGCGGTGCTCAGTGAGCGACTTGTGGTAGTACTCGATGGCCTGAGCAAGGTCGCCCAGCTTCTCGTGTGCAGTACCGATTCTTCCGAAAGCCCTGTAGACGACTGAGTTAGTAACCGCGTCGGTAATCACACCCACAGGTATCTTACTTGGCAAGGGCCTTGAAGTCGGCACGGAGCTCACGGCCCTCCTCGACGGCCTTCTGGCAGGTCTCGATGGCGCCCTGAAGGTCACCCTTCTCGAACTTGGCAGCACCAAGGTTGTTGAGGTACGTAATGTCCTTGTGCAGCTCCCAGGCCTTGTTGTAGTGCTCAATAGCCTCATCGAACTGCTTCTTCTTATAGAAGTCGTTACCAATCTTCTTCTCGGCGTCAGCAGCTTCCTGGGCCTTCTTCTTGGCGATTGCCTCCTCGTCCTCGGGCTCAGCCTCGGGCTCGGGTGCCGGTTCAGGTTCCTTCTTCTTCTCAGCAGCGGCAGGGCGAGCATCAGGCATGGGCACATCCTCCTCAGCCTCGGGGGCAGCACCGGCAGAGCTAGCGCCCTCCGGGGGAGCGCCGAAGCTCATGTCAATGCCCAGCAACACACTCATGACCTGCAGGAAGCGAGGGTCTTGAATCTCCTGACCAACGCTGTTGGGGTTCTGCTGAATGCGCTGGAGCTTGGCCATGAAGTCGGCGTCGGCCAAGAGCGGGGAGGTCTTGGGGTTGCTGGCCAGCTTCTGATACATCTGAGGGTCGTTGAAGATACCACCAAGTCCTCCCATAGGGTCACCAGTAACACCGTCGGCCGTGGCCTCCGCCTCGATAGCCCTCTTGACAGCATTGAAACCGGTCTTGGCCTGTTCGTTGGTAGGCTCGAGCTTGAGGGCCTCTTCGTACGCATCGTGGGCAGCCACTACACACGTATTAGTAACCCAGATACAGTCTCACCGCACCACATCTCCCAACTTACAGAGGTCGCCTAGACCACGGTAAGCGGCACCCTTGCGGAGCCATCCCTTCGACCAGTCCGCCTTCAGATCCGTAGCCTTGTTGGCATCCTCGAGAGCCTTCTCGTATTGGGATTGCGCGGAGTAAACAGCCGAGCGGTTAGAGTAGAGAATGTGGTTTGAGGGCTCAATTTCGATAGCTTGGGTGAACTTTTCACTATAGGCCAATCAGCTGCGGTTCATGGCTTCGATCCTCCCAGACCTTTTTGCAAGCGGGGTAAACCGGGGGAGAAAGATACATACACCGCAGTAGCATAGTCCTTTGCGGAGAAGGCCTTGTTGCCTTCAGCTTTCAGAGCGTCAGCCATGCTGTATAACTTCCAAGGGGTATATGATGTAGAAGCGGAAGGATGGAAGTGTGGTGGTGAGTTGGGGAAATAAGTGAGAGACGGGGGCAGCTGGACCGGGCAGATCAGTTAAACCGGAGCTTCTTCTCTTTTGCCGGGAGCTTCTCGAAATTTCCGAGAGACAGGGTTCCAGCCTGAGGCCACAGCACAGATCATGAGGCAGTAAGGCTGCAAGGCTACAAGGCAGACACAGGCTGTCAAAGCTAGGACTGGCCCTAAACCCTTCCGGGCCAAAGTGACTCCCCCGCTAAACCCAAAGAGAAAGAAAAGCCGCCAAAAACATCTTCTTTTCGGCCTGCGAAACTCGATTCTCCCTCTCGACGACCGTCAACTTTGCGCCTGCTTTCCCTGCCAACTCCCCGGGCATTGCTTTGTCCCGGCTTCTGCAGCGACCGTCCGACCTGGGATGCATTCTTGATCATGCCCCTTCACGAGCCCGTCCGGTGATAGTTTCCTGTTAACGACTCCACTACAATCGTCGTCGTGAAAATGGCCTCCGCGGGGCCGTCAGGCAGTTCGGTCAACGAACTGGCCTCTCGACTTTACGACGCCTGTGTCAACCAGTTCCCTTCCGAACATTTGTTCTATCAGCAGGATCTTTTGGGTCTGAACATTGTCCCCAAGAATGACCTCGCCCTTCTCTTGAGCTGCGCCCAGTCGCTCGTCAACCAGAAGCTCTTTCGGCTTCTCCAGGGCAAAAATGACCGCTTAGCCTGGAAGATTATTTCGCGGGATGATGCTGAAAAGTAGGGCGATTTTTGTCGTTAAGAACTTGACTTAGGAACTCTCCCCACTAACCCTCCTGCTTAGACTTCGAGACCTAAGCCCCGACGAGAGTTTAGTCTACAATGTCATCCATTCGACAGGACGATCCGGTATCTGGGTCCGCGCAATTGGCAACCGCACCAACCTCCACAAATCCATTCTCGATCGCTGCCTCAAGTCCCTGGAAACGAAAAGCTACATCAAAAGCGTTCACAATGTCAAATTCCCCAGCCGGAAGATGTACATGTTGGCAAACCTCGCCCCAAGTGAGGACGTGACTGGAGGAGCCTGGTTTACCGACGGAGTGTTGGACGAGAACTTCATCAACAGCGTCGCCGGCTTTATCGAGTACTCCGTGAGCCGGAAAAGCTGGTACGAGGCCCCCTCCTCGGACGGTCCTCGAAACAAACGCATGAAGACCGCGGACGGAGGTGTAGCTGTCAAGCAAGAAGGCGCTCCAAAGGAATACCTCCCCTTCCCAGCCGGGTATCAGGGCTACCCCACCATACCTCAATTAACAGCCGCCGTGAACGAGAGTGGCATCACACCAGTCCGCCTGGGCGAAGAGAGTATCACGCAGCTCCTGGAGATGCTCTGCTACGACAACAAGCTAGTATCCCTGAACAACGGCGAATTCTACAAATCCGTCAAGAACCCCGAACAAGTCAAATCCCAACAAGCGCGCAAGCCCCGGACCGACGACGCAGGCATCGACGACAGGCTAGTCAAGAACGGCATGACCGAAGCACCCTGCGGCAACTGTCCGGTTTTCAAGCTCTGCGCTCCCGGCGGAGCTGTCAGTCCCGAGAGCTGCGAATACTTTGACCCCTGGCTCGAAAAGGCCCTCGGATTTTGATTTTTTTTTTTTCCTTTATTATCTACCTCACACATCATTATCACCTCATACTCACACACACACACTCAATTCCTGTATACAATTAGCGCAGCATGCGCCAGATGATGTTTGTTTGCATAGCGATGGCGTTCACGTCTGATATTGGGATCGGCCATGGAACAACGGTCTTCTTTTCTCAATGTGGGCAACTTAAAAACAAAAGAATTTTCTAGGGCTTTTATTATAATTTCTTTTTTTTCTGGGAAAGAAATAAAGGATGGAAAAGCGACATGGGCAGGGGTGGGAAGGGAACTGAAGGAAGGGATTGAGTTGATTGGTTGGATGGATGGATGGATGGATGGATGGATGGATGTCCGTTTGACAATTCCCTGGTGCTACTTATTAGCTATTTACTATATACTACTAACTAGTATTTTGGGTTTTTGTTGGACTGTTGTTTCTCCTGGTGTAGTATATAGTACTATCGGTTGTTTGGATGGGCTGTTGTGGTTTATTATTGGATGAAAAGAACTACTATTACAATTACTACTACCTGCTTGCTCGCGCCTGGTAAACCACTACTTAGTAATATAAGACTGAATCAGAAGTCGAATGCATCCTGGATTGATTCGAACTGCAAAGATAAACGCCGTCATAACATCCTATATAGTCATTATAATAATACACCTGACACGGAGACAAAAGAGAAAGGGGGGTATAACTATGTGATATGAACCAAACTAAGCTTGCAATTTCGCCGAACACTGCGGACAGAACCACTTCCCAACAGGTTCTCTCGTCAAGCCCACACACTTCCAATGGAACCACTCAAACTCGCAGTTGTCGTTGTCGCATGCAACCATATCTCCATGGCTGACGCTGCGACACGTACAATACACCTTGGTATCTTCATTGCCTTCGTCTTCTTCCTCGTCTTCCATGTCTTCGTCTCTTCTACCCTCGTCGGCATTCTCGGAATCCGAGATATCGGCACTGCTGAGCATGGAGTCGTCCTCGTCTTCGTCGCCTCCGGCAGCGGAGGGGGATTGTTTTGTCCCGCTGACTTTGAGACGGCCGCTTGCGCTGGATGATCGCTTCGTGTGCTTTCCGTTGAGTCCGGAGGCCTTGATCTTCTTGAGTTGTTGGTGCGGGGCCACTTTCTTGGTTACGGCTTTCTTGGTGGAGGCTGTTGAGCGCGGCCCTGCGCTGCCGGCTCGGCTTGAAGCCGGAGTTCCGGCTTTGGGTGTACCGGGGCCGAGAGACGATTGTCGGAGGTTGGACGAGGCTGCGGGGAGTGTTCCGAGTGAAGCGTTGAGGCGCCGGCGCTTGTTTTCCACTGCGCCGGCGGAGGATTCTCGTTGTTGTCGTTGGAAGTGGATCGTTCCCGAGGGTGTTGCTGGGGCGGAGCTTCGCGCTGCAGTCGGCGAGTTCAACGCGAGTGCGGCGGCGTTCCGGCCCAAGGAGTTGAGTTTCTGGGTGGCGCCTAAAATGACATTGGCGTTCGCGGAGGTGCCATTGAGAGGAGAGGGAAAGGAGGAGTTTTCGACGGTGGAATCGGGGAAGAAGATCTTGGGAGGGTCGCGGTATTGGTCTTTGTTGTTGAAGAGGGAGGGGATAGGAGGGTCGTTCGAGAGCATGCCGTTACTTTGCAGCTTGTGGATGGCGATGTCCAGTTTTCTGATGTGTCGGTCCAGCAGAACACATGCTTTCTCGCTCAGTTGGATCTTTTCATCTTGCAGCTGTTGCGACTTGTCGAGGTTCTGTATTATGGCTTTGCCGTATTGCTCTTCTTTCGGGTTGGGCGTCAAGCTGCCGTTTAAGCGGATGAATTTCTGGAGACTGGTGTCGCGGGAGTTGATGGTCGTGCGGCATTCTTGGATGATCTTGTCCTTGGCTTGGATTTCTTCCATCAGATGGTTAATTTCAGCTGGAAGGTTCGCCACATCGTGGACGAAAAGTTCCAAAACGGCCGCCGGGTCGTCCTGAGCCTGCGACATGTTGCGCGTTCACTGGTCGTTGTTCCCGATATGTAACGGGCCTTGATATGATGCCGCTATCGGGGGGCCTTCGGGCTGCGACCGGATGCGCGTTGAACAAGGTGTAGAATGCGACGCAGCCCGCTGCAGGCTATTCGGTAACTCGGCGCGATGTCGTAACGGATGAAATCGATGATGAGTATGTACAGGCTGAGATGGTGGCGCAGAGAAGCATTGATCGGGGATAACGACGGGACGCCGAAGGGAGGGAGCGACAGGATTGCCGGATCTAGAATGTTCCGGGCCCGGAGTCTCAGCCACAGTCAACACAGTCAAGCCACAGATTGGCGATCCTAACTGTCAGACCCAAAGATGAGGCGACTCTTGGCTGTCAAAGCTTTTGTAGCTCACTAAGATGTGGAATGGCTTAAGCTTCATATACATATTTGGAGTACCTGGCGGGTCCTTCATATCCCTTTTTGTTCATCAAATCAAGCCATGCTCCAGCCACAGTCTCTATGCAAACGGGCGGGGTATTTCTGCCTTACAACTCTGGCGGCAACTACGCTGTACCGTATGTCCAGTGTTTCTGGCGGAAATCCTATCTTTTATAGCTATAATAGCTCTTGATATACACATGTATATTCTGTAACTGATTAAATTATATCCTGATATCCGTACCCTGCAGACTTGGCATGGTGCATGTGGGATGCAGTCAGTCTAGACCCAGACGGAGGGGTTCCCCGAGGGGTTCCTGCGAGGATGAAGAAATGCGCACAACCAACGCCACCCATGACATCCCATCTCTAAAGTACTTCTTGCAGTGACTCCAGAATGTCCTGTTAAAGCAAACCCTATCAGATTTAGAGATCACAATATAGAGAAAAGATGTGGGCCGGCGATTTGCTGATGACGAAAGCCAGTGTGCAAACAGTGCAAACGGCGTCAGGCAGTCGGTGATTCCCCCGCGCAGAGACGCAATGGGAGATTTCTCTTCTGAGTACTTTCCTCCGAATTCGTCTGCCTGCTTGTTCCTTATCTCGCGCCTTTGGTCCCTGTCTTCCGGTCCCTCGCTTGGAATTCCTTCCTGCGCTCTATCCTTCACTCGCGGTGTGGTCCAATCTACCTCGTCATGGCTCAAAATAATACCCCTCCGCTCCCGGAGGGTATTTTCTCGTTGCTTGATACGGATCTGTACAAATTGACGATGCAATG